ATATATATTATAACAGTAACTTGATCCGAAAAGTCGTATCACGGTCGAGTTGACAGGCGCGGATCATCAGATCAAACGAGACGCGAAGCGTCGAGTTTGATCTGATGATCTGCGCCTGTCAACGAGACGTGATACTGCTCTTCGGATCAAGTTTTTGTTATAATGATAAATTTATTATATACCCCTTTACAACTAGCAAAGTTAAATAAAAGGAAACTTCTTGGATCAATTACAGAACTTTTATCCATTAAACAAACCATTTTGTCAAGGAACTTTTTGATGCGCGAGAATAAAAACGTCATTTATCTGTGTACTACGTCATCAGTTTCAGAGAGGGGTGATAGGGATTCAGAAAACCACAGTGTGGTGATCCGGAACGTCGGATCACACCGTCACGTGATTGTGTGAATTCAACAGTAAAACTGAGTGACAAACAGTTGGGTATATATATATATATATATATATATATATATATATATATATATATATATATATATATATATATATATATATACAGTACCAACCAGACCCATCCTGATACCTAAGCAGTCCCAGAAAGCAGTGGGACTGTTCTGGGACTGCTGTGGGACTGCTCTAGAAAGCAGACCCAGCAGTCCCAGGGACTGTTTTCAAGGAATGGTTTGTTCAATCGCGCGTGAGAAAGGTTCTGAGTGACATGATAGCTCCGCCCCTTGTGTATTCTGAATTTGCAGCTCCCTGTTGCTGTTTTGTTTACTTTCAGAAGAGAGGTGTTTAAGAAAAAACATTAAAAAAACAAGGATTTCTTACAAAATTTTAACAAGTAGAGATAGATATACATGTAATAACTATATGTCTTCAGGGGATTTAATTTTACACAGTTGTAGTCCTAGTCTAGAATTAATTTTTTTAAAAAATGAAAGTAGTTAAAAAGGGAGTTCAGGAGATGATTTTTATCCCTTAAATAAAACTTTAATACAGGTGTTTGAAACAAAATTATATAGGCCTATTTAATTAATTAAATTATCAAATTATGTACTCAAAGTTTGTATTAGCACTATTTAAAAAAAAACAAACAAACAAACAAACAAACAAACATGTTATTACAGTAAGATATTCAGAGGGACGTACTGTACTGGATTTTTTTTAATTGAAAAAGCTAAGACAATGCTAAAAAAGTGCATTCCATGCTATTTTTACCACCTTCAAATAAAACCTAATCATTATTAAATGACCATGAAATAAAAATATTCTACCATTCTTCCGTCATATAAACAATCTGAACAAGTATTTGGGGATTTATTTTTTAATTAGTTTTTGATTTATAAACAAGTTATTAAAAAGGTACATTTATTTAAAAAATAAACATTTGAAAATATCGAAAATTGTGTGGCGTCAAACACTTGAGGTTTCAATCGCCTTTTGGCATGATTAGCAGAAAGTCAATGAATGGTATCAGTGTTACACATCACTGAACACGCTGATCAACATTGACACTATTTTCAATCTATGAACTACAAAAAAAAAAAAAATCTTTGTTTGAATAAATGTGCATAGATTTATTTCGGGATTAATTAATTTTGAACACAACCTGAGGGTTCCATTCGCGTGATTTACAGATGTACACTTATTTAATAAAACTCTTAAAACTGAGTGTTATTGTTTTCTGTTACATAGAAAATCTAACGATAATCAAATTGGCAAGTCAGTGAAAATAATCATGACTGAAATATAATACCCGGCAAAATTTTACAAAGAATTTTTCAATAGCCCCAGTACTTTCCAGTAAGAAAAATGCATTCAGAGTATAGTGTGGGAATCGGCCTTGCTCTATAATTATTAAATCTATTCAAACTAATTCTGATAGAAAAAAAAACCAAGTTTAATTTTCTATAAAAATAAATAAATATGGAAACCATTATCAATCACAGAAAATAAAGAAACTGATTTATTATTGATTAATAAAAAAATTAATATACCACATTACTTTGTTTAAATTATCATATTATTAGTAGGTGTAAACGTCTTCTTCGTTCAATATTTATTATTTTTTTCTATACACGTACTGTCATTTTCTTAACAGTTCAGAAATGACTGTCACATAAGAATTGTAAATATTTGTGTTACTGCTCAGAAAGAAATGCATCATCAATTTCCACTGCCTTGTATAGTTACATTGTTTATTGGTAATATCATCTCTGGGTAAGCTCCGCCAATTTAATTAATTAACCCCGCCCATTGGGACTGCTCGGACTGCTTTCTGGAACCACTGGGACTGCTTTCTGGGACCGTTGGGACTGCTGGGACCGCTGTGGGACTGCTATGGGACTGCTCTGGGACCGCTGTGGGACTGCTTTAGCAGTCCAAGAAAGCAGTCCCCGGGACTGCTCTGGGACTGCTTTGTGTCAGGTTGGGTCTGGTTGGTACTGTATATATATATATATATATATATATATATATATATATAGAGAGAGAGAGAGAGAGAGAGAGAGAGAGAGAAAGCACAAAGAAATTCATTGTACAAGGATACCCATTTTTTCTCTCGGAAAATATTTCAAATACATTCATAGTTTGGTAGAGTAAAAACAATCTGCAATGAAAGCAAGAAAAATTATTTTGTGAATTGTAATATTAAAACATTCTACTTTACTTAGATCTTTAACTACAATTAAAATAAAACAGAAATGGCAGGTGTTAATTCAGAAAGAAATACCATCCGATATATTTGTTAACTCTCGGTCTAGTTCTTGTAATTTTTTATCATCAAATGGGTTCAAAATGGCAACGAAGTTATCCCTAATCCCGATATTTATACACGAACTTTCTAAAGAAAGTTCGGATATATTGCTGTTGCCCTGGTCCGTCCGTCCGTTTGTGACACTTTCATTTAAATCTTACTACTCTTTTAAACTCTTGGAATATGATAGGTAAAGCCCTGTAGATGTGCAATAAGGTTTTGGAATTTTTAATTTATCCCTCGGGGCAAATCGGGAGTCAAAAAATGACGTCTTTTCTTATAAAAAAAAAAAAAGCCTGGTTTCCAGAACTCCTGCTACATTTTACGCATTAGCCTAATCATCTTTCTGAAGGTGATTGGTGGTGTACTATAGATGTGCAATAAGGTTTCGGAATTTTCATTTTCACCCTGGGGTCAAATGAGGATCGAAAAATAACGTATTTTATACAAAAAGACCGTGGTTCTCAGAACTCCTGTCACATTTTATGCAGTAGCCTAACTATCATTTAGATGATTATTCATCGTGGTCTGTAGATGTGCAATAAGGTTTCGGAATTTTCATTTTTACCCTAGGGTCAAATGAATATCGAAAAATGTCGGGGTTTTTTTTATAGAGAAAGACCCTGATTCCCAAAACTTTTCTTATATTTCATGCATTAGCCTGATCTTTTGAAAGATAGGAGGTGGTGTCCTTTAGATAAGGAATAAGGTTCTGGAATTTTCATTTTCACCCTGGGGATAAAATGGGGATGGATAAATGACGTTTTTCATACAAACAGGCCCTGGTTTCCAGAACTCCTCTTACATTTTATGCAGCAGCCTAATCATTTTTTGGAAGATGATTGGTGGTGTCATATAGATGTGCAGTAATGTTTCGGACCCTGGGGGTCAAATGAGAGTTCGAAAATGACAATCTTTTTAATACAAAAAGGCTTTGGTTCTCAGAATTCCTCCTATATATTTTATGCAGTAACCTAATCATCTTTTGGTGTCCTATAAATGTGCAATAAGGTTTCGGAATTTTCAATTTTCACCCTTGGGGTTAAATGGGGGAGAACAATTACGTTTAAAGTCTTAATGTCAAAGATTTCATGAGTCATGGTGTGGTTCTCTTTCTTTCTTAATTTGACATTAAATGAAGAAAGGGTCAACGTAAAAATAAATGATGCAGAAAATCTTGTGTAAGTGTCTTCTATCTATGTTTCAGATTTGAATTCATAATGTCAAAGGATTCTCAGATAATGTCCTGAACTATACTTTCATGTATAAGATTTACCTTGACTCATAAATGGGTCAAGTTAAAAAAAACTGTTGGCAAGCATCCTTTCTCTATGCATGTACTACCTTTCTATGTTCCAAGATTGAAATTTTGATGTAAAAGGGTTCTTAAGTTATCCCACCAAAATATGGCTAAAATATTGGCGACTCGGCGTAAAACAACAATAATCAATCAATAAATCTATCTTAAATTATGGTTTGGAGGTGTTTTTTTTTCAATTTGACCTCGAGTGAAGAAAGGAATCAAGGTAAAAATTTTGATGCAGTGCATCTTGTGTAAATGTCTTTTTTCTATGTTACAATTTTTAAATCCTAATTTCAAATGTTCTCAGGTTTTAGCCTGGACTATATTTTGATGTAAAGATTGACCTTGACCTTATCAAGAGGTCAAGGTCAAAAAGTTTGGTGGCTTCAACCCAACCTCCATACCAACTTCCCATGTTCCAAGTCTTAATGTCAAAGTGTTTTCAAATTATGACTAGGACAAAATTTGATTGAAGAAGAAAACTGATAAAAACAATATGTAAGCTAGTATCGTCTACTTGTCGCATCAAAACAGTAGGAGGAGTAGAGTTTTGAAGGAAGAATAAATTTGTTTCTACATAATGTAATGAACTTGCACATGTTTCAACTTTTCGTGCCCAGTGTTTCTTCAGAAGAAGATTTTTAAGGTATTTTCCTTATACAGTAAAGCATGCTCATAGCAAATAGCTTAAAATAAAATTGACACTTACAGCGAAGCAATTTTCATTCCCAATGACTTTAAAATATATTGTTAACTTAATGGATATGAGCATTACATTTATAACGAAGCAAAATCATTGGTCCTAGAAACTTAGTTATAAGCGAGTTTTACTGTACACTCCCATATTTAGAAAACTCAATCTAATTAAAATTAGATGTTCCGAATCCGCTACCCGCTTCTCAAACATCTAACAGCATCCCATTCGGGGTCACGTCAGAGCGACCTTTCGATTATCCAATGAAATCGCCATCTCCAAAAATCTTGGCTTATAGTTCGGATGCGTTTCTTTTTTTTTTACTGCCAAACCTAAACGCCCAAGGGGTTTCGTAGTAAACAAGGTAAAGACCGTGCTATATATGAATGTGACGTGCGGGATATATAGACAGATATGCCTAGTTTGTGCATTTTCGTTTGCGTTATTCAAGTAAGAATGCCAGATTGGCGGACTATACGTTCAATTTATACCAAAATTACTTTAATTCAATGTAAGACAGTCTACTGAGCATCAATAATTTTATGATGTAGCCGTGGCACTAATTTTAGAATCGTATACAGAAGCCTGAATCTGAATGGCAAAAATTTTTATGTTTATTCATAATCGAAAGGTCTCTCTGACGTGACCCCAAATGGGATGTTGTTAGATGTTTGAGAAGCGGTAGCGGATTCGGAACATCTAATTTTAATTAGATTGTAGAAAACTTTTATCCCTTATTGTGGTCCACCCTACCTCTGAAGGTCATGACTTGAACATTGTTGAGTTTACACTAAGCAATGAAGTTTAACATAATTCTAAACACTTCTGGCCCAGTGGTTCTTGATAAGAAGATGATTTAAAAAAAAACATTAAATTTTTACTCATTTTTATTTCCCCTTAAAAGAATGTTTGACCATTTCATTTGTGGCCTACATGTACATATGATTATTATAATCTGAGGTTGGGATGACTTCCAGGGGGTCATAACCTAAACGTACCATTTAATGCATGATGACACAAGGAACGATATTATGCATGCTTAAGCGGAGTTAGTTTCGACTATTTTCAAGATACATATCATTTGGAGTTTCAGGGAGTGGGGATGACTATAGGGATCTTGACCCAATATACTATTTCATATACAATAATACAAACTAAGATGGCTTAGGGGCTTTTTATTTACTGAAAGCTATTTGATTTTTTTAAGTTTCCAGGGAGTAGGAATGAACCATGGGGGACTTTTGCACTCCCGCATATTTTGTCCCATTCTATACAGGTCTAAACCTTTAATATAATATGATCATAACGTACGTATCGCCTGTTGTAGGTACTGTTTAATTCATAATATAATCAATCTAAAACACATTAAGAATCATGAGAATTCCTACTGGTTATAATGTTTGTATACCAAGTGCAATCAAATTATGAGAACGGTAGAAGTAGTGCTCGTAGTGTGACGTAATTTCAACGCCAGACGCAGAAGTTTTCCAAAAAGGTTTATAACAAAATTGCATATTAGTTACAATATATTTTTTATACAACAATGGGTTATCTATTCAAAATATGAAATCAAATGAATTATGGGTGGCCGGGGGTTGATTTTTGACATACATAAAGTTGATGTCGTGTGGGTTTGGAAAGGGTATTTTCTCAGCCCATATACTGAAAAAATGCACAATTTGACCATCTTCCAAAGATGTCATTTTGGCATCTAAATTTTCAAAGTTTATCAAAATCGCTATGCACTATAGTAATAATATTTGTTGTTCTGACAATAAATTTAACATGATCCAATTATGAGCCAAAGATTACAACCACCTCCCCCTTTTTTAAACGAAAATCTTCTTTCAAAAATTCTCTTAAACAAAATTAAATTCTGTAATATTAGACTGGTAATGAATTTGGTTTATGGCCACATGTTCACCTGCGCATTTTATGCTTGATTTAAATTTCAAAATCATTGTTGCTTCTTCCCTGATTACCCAATTATGAAGGAGAGAGCATTTAGAGACAAACACTTTAGTGCGGTTATTACTCTCTTATGACAACATCTAGTTATTTATGATTCTTTCTGGGAAATAATACAAACAGAACCCTACTATTGTAGGTAGCAGAAAAACGAAGGAAGAAAACGGGACGGTAGAAGAAGTGACATCCATGACTGAGGTTAAAAAAGGTGAATGATTTAGAGCATCATACTAATACATACTAAAACATTACATCTATTACTTAGATCGTTAGGCCTAGCTAATATCTTAATTAAAGGCTGCTTGGCATCCATTTACACGAAATAACAATGCGAAGTATCATGCTTGCATCTATACACATCTTTTAGATACATGTATGTGTCATTTGACAAAATGTTGTTTAAAAGTAATTTAGAAAAGAGAGAGACATAAATGTTAATACATGAATCGAACATTTATTTTTATAGATATAACACAGCAAGGAACGTATAGGGAATAATTTCATTTTTTTTTTTAGATTAGGACATCGAAAGAGAAATGTTTTACGAGCCAAAAAAAAATAATCAAACATAATTATTGTGAAAGAATATTTGAGTGTTAACGCTGGATTTCATTTCTTCATTACACATATTAGAAACTTTATTTGGAACAAGCCAAAATTACTTCAAAATGAAGTAGAACTTCATGAAAATAAGTAAAATCCGCGTTTTTATGATATAATGTTTCAAAACTCATATTTAGCTTGAATCATTTGTCCAAATCATATGTGTATACATATGTGTAGAAAATGTTAAAAGCTGATGAACCTGTTGTGCACTGACTCGAAAAAAAGAGATACGAGAGAGTGTAAATTACGAGGGCTGATCAAAAAAGTTTTAAAACTACAACTAATTGGATTACTTCCATAAAAGAAATAAAATCAGGTTTCAAAGTTCATTTTTTCTTAAAGTAGTTCTCTCCAATTTTAATGCACATCTGAAACCATTCTGCCCATGCGCGAATCACGTGATCCAGGCGGACACGTGACATACTCCGTAGCGCTCTGTTAACGGAAACTAACAGATTTTTTTTTCCCGATTCTTATATTTCTTACCATGCAAGTTATTTTTTATAACAAGGATATACTTTGCCAGAATGAGAATGGTGACCATCACAACCCGAGTCATCTGTCTTAAGAGCGTCGTTTACCCAGTGTGGATAAAGTATGGGCGCCTTCTTTTTATCATATATGATATGGTTAAATTGTAAAGAAAACGATATTTTAGGGATTTAAAAATTACATCCTTGTTAAGATATTCAACTATTTGTCTAACTGTAACTTACAATCTTTCATAACAAATTGCTCAACAAAGCTAAGGATACATCTCTTCCCCGGTTTGCTTTCACTGTTCAACCGAACAAACATAAGTTTTAACAATCTCCCTTCCTTCACTAAAACAATCAATCAAATAAATGATAGAACTTACAGGTTTTTTGTCTTCATAAACCTTGCACAAATTATTTTATGCTACTGCAAAGAAAGTTCCGAGATATATAACCATTTTTTATCACACGTCATCTACATATTGAAGTCATTTTCACACTGTGACGTCACAAACATGGAGCGAATCAAGACATATGATATGCTATTTATAGAACATGTGTATGACTATATGTGCCAAATTTCATTTAGGTCTGAATTGTGCTTTTGTTAATACAGAGATAGTTCGCGAACTTTCTGATCACCCCTGGTGTGTATTTTTTTTTAAACCTCAAATAATGGGTTGAGAAGGATCTGGTGACAAATATATGCGTTTAAAACGTAATGTAATTCTTATAAATGAAAGAGACTAAATGGAGGTGTAAGCTTTATCATCATAAATAATTTTTATCCTCAATCATCAAATACCGATTTTCTGCGTGTATTATGTTTTGCTTTTATCATATCGTCCTTTTATTAAATTTTATCGTGCATTTATCCTATCGTATCGTATATCCTTTAAAGAATAACGATGAGGGTACTGCATCCATGATTTATAACAATAGCTTCTATCTAACACAATTACATAATACATGCTTTAACTCATACGAAACTAACAACAAAGGTAGCACACGTGTGTCTACATTCAGCGTAAAGAATGTAGTTCTTGGTTTAGTCGTAGTATTTTATTTTTTTCCTTGTTCATCAACTGGGTTCAAAATGGCAACAAAGTTTTCAATACTCCCGATATTTATACCCACACTTTCTGAAAAAGGTTTGGGTATATTGTTGTTACCCTGGTCCCTCCGTCTAGCTGTCCAGTCGTCTGTCACACTTTCTTCCTACTTTAACTACTCTTACATTTTAAGCTAAATTCAATTAAACTTTTAGAATATGATAGGTGATGTCCTGTAGATGAAAATAAGGTTTTGGAATTTTCAATTTAACCCGGGGGAGGCAAATCGGGAGTCAACAAATGACGTTTTTTCTACAAAACCCTGGTTCCCAGAACTCCTCCTATATTTCACGCATTAGCCTAATCTTCTATCGGAAGGTGATCGGTGATGTCCTATAGATGTGCAATGGGGATCCGGAATTTTTAATTTCACTCTGAGGGTCGGAAAATTACTTTTTTAGACAAAAATACCCTGGTTCGCAGAACTCTTCTTTCATTTATGCAGAGGGCTAATCATCTTTTGGAAGATGAATGATGGTGTCCTGTAGATGTGCAATATGGTCTCGGATTTTTCATTTTCACCATGAGGGTCTAATGGGGGTCGAAAATGACGTTTCTTCTAAAATAAAAAGGTCCTTGTTCCCAGAACACCTCTTACATTTTATGCAGTAGCCTAATCATCTTTTGAAAGATAAGAGGTGGTGTCCTGTAGATATGCAATAAGGTTTTGGTATTTTCATTTTCATCATAGGGGTCAAAGAGGGGGGGGGGGAGCGAACAACGACGTTTAAAGTCTTAATGTCAAAGATTTCATGACTTGTGGTGTGGTTGTCTTTTTTCCTATTATGACTTTAATTGAAAAAAGTGTCACGGTAAAAAAAAATGACGCAGCAAATCTTTTGTCAGTGTCTTCTATCCATGTTCCAAATTTGAATTCATAATAGCAAAGGATTGTTAGATTATGCCCTGAATTATATTTTCTTGTATAAGATTGACCCTGACCTTAAAAATGGGTCAAGGTAAAAAGTTTTGTTGGTATGCACCCTTTCTCCATAAATCCACTCAATGTTCTAAGATTGAAATTTTAATGTCAAAGGTTTCTTAAGTTATTCCGCCGAAATATAGCTGAAATATTACCGATTCGGCGTAAAACAAAAAAAGATCCATCAATCAATCAATCTTAAGTTATGATTTGGAGGTGTTCTTCTCAATTTGACCTTGAAAGAAGAAAGAAGTCAAGGTTAAAATTTTGGAGCATTGCATCTTGTATAAATGTCTTTTTCCTATGTTACAAGTTTTAAATCCTAATGTCAAAGGTTCTCAGGTAATTATCTGGACTATATTTTGATGTAAAGATTAAATTTGTCTTTATCAAAAGGTCAAGGTCAAAAAGTTTGGTGGCATTAACCCCGACTTTATATCACCTCCCCATTTTCCAAGTCTTATTGTCAAAGATGTGTCAAGTTATGGCTAGGACAAAATTTGATTGAAGAAGAAAACTGACCAAAAAAAAATATGCAAAGTTGTATCGTCTACTTGTCGCATCAAAACTGTAGAAGGAGTAGATCTTTAAAAAGGAATAAATTTGTTTCTACATTATGTAGTGAAACTTTCACATAAGATTCCACTTATCTTGCCCAGTGGTTCTTGAGAAGAAGACTTCTGAAGATTTTTTTTTCTTGTACAGTAAAGCATGCTTATAGCGAATGGCTTATAATGAATTGACACTTACAGCGAAGCAATTTCCGTTCCCAGTGACCTTAAAATATATCGTAATCTTAATGGATATGACCAATTACACTTATAACGAAGCAAAATCATCCGTCCTAGGCACTAATTTACATGTATAAGCATGTTTTACTGTACATTCCCATATTTACGAAACTTTGATTCCCTATTTTGACCCCACCCTACCCCTGAAGGTCATGACTTGGACAAAGGTGAATCTACAATAAGTAATGAAGTTTCACATAATCTTAAACTTTTCTCGCCCAGTGGTTCTTGAAAAGATGATGATTTAAAAAATGATTACATTTTCACTCATTCGTATTTCCCCTTAAAAGAAGGTTTGACCCTTCATTTGTGAACAATTGTTTTATACAAGAAAGGATGTTGTACATGAGAAAATGAAACTGTTCGAGTTTCTAGATATTTCATTACACCTATATTGTGGTTCTCCTTATTTCAACTAAGATAATTATGATTTAATCCTGACTGTTCAATTTTGTATAGCCTTCATGTATGTATGACAATTATAAACTGAGGGGTATATTAACCTGTCTTCAGCAAGTCAGGTGATTGTTGACAGTGAACACTTTTAAACAATTTAGTTTATACCTGCCTAATGAAAGCATGAGGACTGTCATGTGTTTTAATTCTAATGGATTTAAATCAGGAACTTACACGATCTTGAAAAATAGGAGTTCCAAGTGAAAATCTGTAACAAACCCCGAGAAAAGACTTCTGCCTATAATTATGTCCTTTTGTTATTAGATGTAGATCTACGACAAGATAGTGAGTAAACTTATATTTACATTTCTGGAAGAGATATTATTCTAGGTGCAGTAGGAGTTACAGTACCGACCAGACACAACCTAACAGAAAGCGAACCCAAAGCGCACCCCGGGTTCGCTTTCTGGGTTCGCTTTGGGTTCGCTTGGGGTTCGCTATAGCGAACCCGGAGCGAACCCGCAGCGGACCCCGAGCGAACCCGCAGCGGACCCCGAGCGAACGCCGAAAGCGAACCTCAAATTCAGTAGCGAACCCAGAGAGCGAACGCGCGTTCGGTGTTGCGTAACAGAGCTGTCAATCAGGATTAGCGATAAAACGAGTTAACCAATCAGCGGGTCGACCAATCAGCATTCGATGTAAATAAAACATTGTACAAGCAAAGCGTGTTAATGTACAGTGTGAAACTATTTTAACATTATAAAAAAAAAATTAAATTAATATATTTTAATTATCCAGGTAGCATATTATATTTACACATTTATTTATTTATTTCTCATTTTCAAAATCCATTAATATACATTGCGTAAATTTATCAGACAAAACATACCCTAATGTATAAAAGAAATAAAAA